GCGGAAAGGGTGAGGGACAGGGCTCTAGGAACCAGGGTTTGCCCAAGTCCCGCTCCGGACGGGTGGAGGAAGAGCAGGGAAAAGGCATGATTGATGGGAATTCGGGACGACTTGGCAGGAACCCGCTGCAGCCGTGTGCCGTAGGATTTACATAAGAACGTTGTCCCTGATCTTTGCTCGATTGGATGGCGGATCTGGAAATAAGCATTCGAGGTTACAGTGGCATTTACAACTACTAGCTGCTCGCGCTCGCAATAATGATGGCACGGGGAGTGTGATGATTGCGGGGAAGTTCAACACTAATTCGAAGCTCAAAGAAGCTTGCTAGAAGTTCGTGGCAGACAATTCGACCGAGGGGACTTCAGCTCGAGGTACTCTACTTTGGTGCCGACGCCCTGCCGTGGTAGTTTGGACCACATGAGAAGTGCTCATCTGACGGGTTGTCGGCGGATTGTCTCCTCGGTCATCTTAATTGTCTAGGTGATGGGATAACCATTTGAGGAGATGAAGGGCTGACGGTGAAATTGGTCCGCTGGACAAAAGGAGACATTGTCGGGGATAGTCCGCTGCAAGATGCCCGAGTGAGCCAGGAAAGAGGAAAGACTGTTCAGACGAACGGCAGACCCATTGCGTAGCGTTCGCCAGGGACATGAAAGCAAGAGACCAGACGAACCAGCAGCGGGCAAGGCGCTGTAAGTCCCGGAATCTCGGGGCATTCTACGGTCTACCCCAGATTCGCACCGGCACAACGTGCAGCTACGCTGTTGACTCGGTGCTGCAGAGACGGCAGATGAATTGCGGAGACTTGACCTCGGGTTATGATTGCAGCAGTGCTGCTCAGCTTTGAGCAATATTGGGTTCCGTAGACATGTAACTCCGCATGAAGCTTAAAAGATTGACGAGGCGGTAGACCGGCAAGGAAGCTCGTATATGAGGTTGGAAAGACGCGCGATCCATGCTTGGTTCGTGAGATTGTTGTTTTTCAGATTTTAAACGTACGGAGACAGATATTCCCATCTCGCTTTCGCAAGGTTCCGGCGGCGACAATGAGCCGAATGGCACAGTAAGTAAGCTATTTGAAACTCAACAGTGGCTCTTCATTCCTCAGTCCTGGGTGCGGTGCCCTGTCAATGTTGTTACCTACTATATAACGTTCAACGTTAAAAAGAGCCAGTTACGGGGTCTTTCCTCCGTACTCGGTAGAAAGAAGTCCAATATCCGCTTATTCGCCCGGGGTTCTCAGGGGGGAGAGCTAATCGACAGAGTGGACATTGTGGGTTGGAAATCGCCGTGTCGACGCAAGGACCTCTTGGCTCTGTTCGGAAGGTGGGCAGCAGTGGCCCCAAAGAATCAGAGATGAATCGGGCATGGAAGTCGGAGTATTTGGGGGGCTCAACGAGTTTGGTAAAGTCGTGATGTCCCCCATCAGCATTCTATACAGGGTGGGCAGACAGAATGAGGGCAGAAATGAGACGGAAAGACGAGAAAGGCGGGAATTGCTCCAAGAGTCCAGGAGGCCCGCAGGGGGCCAAAAGACCCACTGCCGAGCCTCCGTGCTCATCTGACATCACGTGGAGACAAGGGTGGATGGCGAGATACGTACCCTCGGCGAGCTAGGATACCCGCTAAGCTTAATTTGTCCAAACGTTTGTGGCGCTCCTATCAGATCCACCAAATCGCATATCGCATCATCTGCGCCACTTTATTCAAAAGTCCGTCGCTTTTTGGGGATTAGTCTTAGGTTCCAATGCCTCCAACTCACCTTACCTAAACGTGCTAAGGTAGGTTGAGTAAGGTACGGTACGTACTGTGTCTCCAGCCACCGACTCTCGTCGACGTTCCGCTCATCGGCCATCCCCCGACAGGAAGACAACCCACAAACTCACCCACCAACCCTTTGCAATTTCACCTGCATCTCGACATCAACTAATACTACTCCGTATCAAGACCCAGGTTAGCTATGTACCCAGAAGCACAAGTCCTCGGCGGTCGTTGTCTGCAGAATTCAGACTGCCATAATTGACTATTACCTTGCACGCGCCACAGCCGCCACGCTTACTCATCAGCATACTTCATCCATACCTGTTCCCCATTCTAAGCATTCACTCTTGACCCTTTGTCACTTGGCGATATTGTCTTGTCATGTAGGGATGGCGCAGATTGCTTTTCTTCGTCGCAAATGAGCTCTTCGTATGGCACTCGGATGTCGAATAGCATGACTCGATATCCGCAAAGATTAAGGATATAAACCATGATATGCGCCGTGGGTATTTTACATCTTCCATCATTGAGTGCTGGCGGCCATCAGAAACACCGATTGGGCAAGCCGTGGTCAACTAACTTTTGTTATTCAAAAGTACCAAAGATACCTGTCTTCCCCAGTGCATCCAATGATCCAAATTCAAGCCTGGCCCGGCCAGCGAGACCAAGGTGTGGCGGCTAGGTCGGGGGTTCTCAGAAACTTAATCAGATATTAGTCTCCGGTCGGGCGACAATTTCTGTTTTTAAATAGATGGATAATTTCCCTCACTGGTTAGGTCATTCTGCCTTTCTATCTTTTTCTTATTCCATCCGAAGACTCTCGTCCGGACCACTCGCTCTTCCAAATCCACATCAACCTTCCTCTTGCTCAGAGTTCGTCGACTTAGTGCCCGAGTCTGAAATCTTTGTCCGCGAGTCCTTGTAAATTTGGACATTTGTGGGTTGATGACTGAGCACGTCTGTTCCAGAGCTGTGTGAAGTACCGAAGGAAGTAAGCTCACTATATTCTTTTCTGATGAGCAGCTCGTCTGTAATTCTTTCCTGTTGATTTGCAGAGCTTCATCTGCCCAATAAGTGGGACCGTCTTGTCAAATGATCCATATCGTGCACTGCACCCTTAGCAAAGAGTCACGCCGTGGACCGGTAGTGCACAGGGTGTCAGTATTAGACAGCTAAGTGATTAAGGCTTATTGTTGCAGCCTCTCCTATCTTTAGGATCGTCTTCGAGATTGCGATTTGCCTCGGCGGACCCATCAACGCCTGCCCTTCTACATATCCCGGGTATAATACCTACCCCAATCCATTTGGCTACTGGAAGGCGTTTATCATGGCGTCAGGATGCGTAGCGTCCGCACAGTCTTGTCGCTACCTCTAACGCCATGAGGATAGCTTCACACAAGTCGCGTGGTGGAAATCAGTGTAATTGGTCGTCGGGCAAATACATCCAGCTTTCTCACCCGGGTCTCATCTGTTCTTGAGCCGTTATGACCTTTTGCTTTCGTTCCACTGGTACTATCAAATGTTCTCAGCGTCCTGGGCAAAAGTTTCGCAGGAGCTCTCCATTGACACCCAACAGGTACCGTAGGCAGGCAGAAAGACCGCTTCCAATTCCTTTACCTGTACTTAGACTGCCTACCCCGTATAGGCAATCAATTACGGCGAGATTTCAGTCGATCGACTGGAGTAAGTCTGAGTAGCGTTTTACGAACGATCCCGCTCACCGATGGATGGTCCTCATCACGAAAGATCCTCTTATTAGTTTCTTCATTCTTTCCCCTCTCGGGAATCGATATCACTGTTTCTGTAGGTGAACAATATCTGAATAAGGTAGATTGGATAAACTGGATAGAGTGCAACTCGAGCGCATCAATCTACGTTTGTTGATTCCCACGTTGGTCCACCGCATCGCTCATCCTTGAACCAAGCATACGTCGCGCGACTGTCTCTAATGCCGCAACTATGGGAGGAAAGATGGATTGTACAGACAGGAACTAGTTTGGGGATGCATACCAACGAAGTTGAAGCCAGCCGTGACGGTGACAAATCCATAGAAGTGCCGACTTACCCATGTAGAGGACCTAAGCACAAGCTAGTCTCGCCTATTGACTCTTCGGGGTCCCGGTATCATGGACTAGGCACAAGCTGATTGGACTATAGTATTAGTGGGCTGCGATTGAGGGGTTTGAAGGAGCTCGCGGAAGCTACCCGAGCTGTGGAAGTTTGTTGTTCTTCAAGTTGGTTGGAATCCCAGGTTTTGTGCACTTCGATACCATACTTCCGGTCTGACAATGAAGTCTGATCGAGCACTTCGAATGCCAAGTACGCATATCATAGGCCACAAATACCTCTGGATTGATGCATTGGGTGATGTCTTGTGAATGGATGAATTTGAGGGTCGGCCTAACGAACGCGGGCCAAGAACTACGTATTAGGCTGTCACGGCTGTCACGGCTGATACGCGGAACATGTTGCACGCTGCAAGAAGACTAATCACAGTCCCCCAGGAGGAATTGTCTATTCTCCAAGTCGGGACGCAATCTATCCGTCGAAGATAAAAGTTCCTCCGTCCCCTGCCCAACTGGATAGGTTCCTGCTGATCAACTGAGGAAACAGGTACCGGCAACGAACTGATCCGAAGGTCAGCTCTACTTTGATGGAAAATATGGAAACTCTGATGGGACGTGTTCGTCAGATCATTGCCTTTGTTGACATGCCACGTAGGGATCCCAGAAACGTGGAACACTGGGTAAGACAACGGTCTGGCGGCTCCCTTGACGCTCCCGGCCCTCGGGATTCGGATCGTTGGCTTAGACTATTCGGACAGCCAGAATCCGGGGCCTTAACAGCTTCAGCCATCCAATAAGAAAAGACCTAATTCCGTAGATGTAAGCTGCTATCCCGACGTGGACATTGTTCTCCCCGGATCTGGGCTGGCCCGGCGCTAGTGCCTGGCTGTCTGCTAGCTCTAAACTCTTGGTCACGGCTAGTGCCAAGGCTTGACGAGACCATCATTTCCCGACTGGTCTCATTTGACTGACATTCTTTGAGAGGCAAATGATAGAAACGGCAGCAGTGCTACCGACGAATGACGATGGGGGAAGTCGGCTGCCCTTTCAGCCTTGCTCACTGCGCACTTATAAGCCGGACATCGCCCTTCGTTGATGAGCGTTGGAAATATTTGCCAAGTTATTTCTGATACCTCGCATCATCAAGTCAACAATCGGTCTCGACGACTCAACATGTACTGCAAAAACATCGCAATTGCTCTGGCTGTGGCCACAGGCGTCATTGCCCAACGCCCTGCCGACACTCCCATTTGCGACTACTACACAACGGCATTGTTGAAGAATAACACTGGTGCGAACCAGTACACGCTCCTCACACTCTTGGTCAACACGGTTGTCATTGGAAATTGTAAGTCACACCGCCATTGTATTTTAAGGCCCCTGCCACTCACACGAGTGTAACCAGATACGATGCCGAATGTCGGAATCAAGGTCGATGGTATCCTGGCACCTGGCATGTACAATGGCGCTGAGGTCAACCTCCTTCCTTACTTCAACGGAGACTTGGCCTCATCGAACCGGGGCGGCAGTTCTGGTGTGTCTGTCAACTTCCTCGATGGCGGCGGTGCTGCCCCTTTGATGAAGAACATGCCTGCGAACGATGACACGTCCAAGCAATAGTGAGTTGAACCCACTCAGGTCTGTACATCACTGGAGAAAAAAAGCTAACGTGAGCTTTCACTCAGCTTCCTTTTGACTCACTTGTACCAATTCTTCGGTGCCCTTCTCGGCTGTTCTCAATACGGAATGACCGGTTTCCCCAAGTACAGCGGCTTTGCTTCCATGTACGAGGTGCACAAATTCATGGACTTGGACCAGAATGAGCTTGGTTACTTCATTACCCAAGTTGCCATGGCTGCTGCCTCCTTTGGTGTCGCTCAGGACGACCTCAAGGCAGTCGGTATGGCTTTGAACCAACTCTTTGGCATGCGCTGCAGCCCGCCTGCCACGGCCATCCCAGAGCAGGGTCCTCAACTGCAGGCTATCTGCATTCAGGACAGCTGCCCCATCTCTACCAACTCTACCTGCGCTAGTTACCAGCCAGCCATGGCCCCGAAGAATGCCACTGCGACGGGAGGCATGAACGCCACCATGACTTCAACGATGACGGGAGCTACCATGACCTCAACAATGACTCCGAGCACAGTTCCAACGGCAGGTGCTGCTGTTCAGGGCGTCAGCTTAGCTCTCATCGCCGGGCTGCTGGCTTGCCTCATTTGATAAAGCTACCCCTAGTGAGGACCAAAGTCTCAGGAAGGGAGGAATGTGATGGGAAGTCGTCAGACCGGAAGATACCAAAGAGATGATCCGAAAGAACTTTATCTTCGCTTATTAATTGTATTCAAATTCGAAACTTTATAATATTTAGGCTAAGAACCCCAATACCCTTGGTTATGAGGTGTTTTAGAGACGTTGCGATACGGCCATCATCAAGAACTGTAACATTGACCCCGTGTGATTAAGCTCGCGCGCGCCATCTCCAGATCCTACCACCTCCATAATTATATTCAAATTTACGCCATTCAATCCCAAAGACTTGTCTTACAGGTATTTGAGTTCTGTCAACATAAGCAATGAGTGACTCTTCCTTGCAGGGTCAGTATCTGTGAAGTGCAAGGGCCATCTTGCTGAAGGGGCCACAAGAGTGTACTATATACGTATTATAAGACCACTGTGAAGAGGGTTATGGAAGCTCCAGAGAGGTGCATCACAGAAAGGTTTCTGATCCTATTGTCAATAGCAGACGTTGGTGTACGCATATGCCCTCAAGGCAGCTTTGCGATGCAAAATCTACTTTTTTTGTATGTGGGTTTTCAGTCATGTTGCAGCAAATGATTCCAGTGAACATGCAGTCTTAAGGCATGTCATCCGACAAAGGATCTGACGCTCTAGTCTACGATGTAGCGGGCGAATGTCACCTGCCGACAATTGCACGTCAAAGGCGGTGCAAATGATCCCTATTTCTAGCGTTTCGAGTGGATAGAGTTCAAAATCTCAAAACACCTGCAGAAAGCCCCATTGAACAGTTGAGACTTGGCTCTGGGCGAGGACAAAGTTTGAAGTAGTACAATCCTAGTCACGTGGTGTACCATGGGGTTGTCTAGGCCTGCACATATATGAACATTCTCCTTTGACATGGGAACACTTACCGACTGATTCATGCAGCGTTGTTTTTCCTTTCACAGGACTTAGCCAAGATAGATTAATGATCTCATGACCCATGTCCAGACAGAATCCTGCTCATCATGTATGCTGCACGTGGCACACCGGCTGCTTTCCAATCTCAGGCAGTAAGAGATAAGATAGATACATGTAACCAGCAGTCAACTATGTACAAAGCGATCTTCTTAACCTGATTCATTGGATGCACATTGAAAGGGACATGTTCGAGCTTTTCTGTCATTCGTGCTGCGATTCTGTCTTTGATACGGGCCAGCAGAAAGAAACGCCACCGCAACCACCTAAGATTAACGCAAACATTGCCTAAAGCCACGGCCTTGGTGAACTTGTTCAATGACAGGAAAATAGTGTCACCTGCATACCTAGGTATTCATTGGATCAAGTGCAAGGTTTTTAACATGACACTGACTTCACCAAAAGTCGCCAAGCTGAGGAGGGCTTGCACTTGTGTAATCAGGTTGTAACACGGGACCAATATAGTTGATGTCCCGGGGCGCCAGTGATGACGATTGTGTCTGGACAAACGAAAAGCAGATGAACAGAAGAACTATTCATGCGACGTTGAATGGGGTAAACTGCTGGTCCACTTTCTAGATGTTAGTGTTCCGATTTGGGATATGGAAACATAGTATTATAAGATGGATGATTTCGCAGCCCAGTATGAAAAAGTTTTGCATGCACTTCACCCTCAAAGCTATATCAACTCGAATCCCAATCCACCATCATAAAAGCTCCAGTTTCTCCTCAAACCCCCGATTTTCAACATGAGCGTTCAAGGCCCCAAAGGAGGCAGTCGAGGTGGCGACGATGGCGAAGACGACAAAGATCAGAATCGCCGTAACACGAACAAAAACCTACCTAAAGACGCCGATTGGTGGCAAGCAATCCGCATCGCGCCGCGAACGGAGGAAGAAGCAGACGCCAACGATAGAACCAATAAGTTCCTACATGAAGCCGATGACCAGCCACTGGACACGAGCTACACTTTCGACTCTAAGCAGACCTCCAGGAGCACAGATGATGAAAGCGAAACCGGTGACAAGGAAAGCTCTTCATCTTCCACCGAGGACAACAAGAGCAAAGCAGACGAGGCAGGCGACAAGCAAAGCCTTGGCACTCCTGCCAATGAGAGACCGGAGAGTCTTGACAAAGTAGGCGACAAGAAATCTACTTCTTCCTAGTGTAAGCCTCAGTGAGATGAGGAGTACTAGGTGGCCCAGTGGCTTGAACCAACCTTTTTCCTTAAAGGGCCGAAGCGCCAACAAGAAGAACGTCTCTTGCATTCAGATGGTTCCTTCTGCTGGCGATTATTCTAGTAGAGTCATGCCACGGCGTAAAGACACAAAATTTTAGTTGTCGCTAGCAAATACAATTGGCAGCTAATGCAATGTACTCAGTCTAATGTGAATGGATGATGATGATTTGCCAAAAGTCTCAAGCTTCTCTTTCGGTCTTGCACATTACAATTACTCTACAGCTACTGTTCCTAATCATGCAAGCTTCAAGCCTAGCAACCCCATCATTGAATATGAGACGAAGCCATGTACCGTTTCTATCAGGCGTCGGTGATTTGCTACATCAGCTACATCAGGCTAGCCGCAGGACGGAAGCCCAAGCATATTGGCCTTCACGAGTAATGATCGAGAAGATCATGAAAGTGACGCTAAGAACTTAAAAGGGTCTGCTTCAAGAATAAATATGTCCTCAATGGTCTCGAATGTGACGTGTGTATTACAATCCATGGGCAACGACGTAACTTCACTTCATCGCAAATAAGAGTCTTCAAGGTCAATATCCATGGTTTAAGTATCACGCATTTTCTAACTAAAGTGACGAAGTTAGCTACCAGGACAGCAACAAGTCTTTTTTTCCTCGTTTTTGCAGTAATACATGAAAATCACTTGAACTATGCTAACAAAACCTAAAAGCCAATGGGAATAGTGTGCGCGAGAACGTGGTTGGCAGATTCTGTCTTTGTAGGTTACCTTGCTTCTCTTTGGTAGAAGATAGGGTGGTCTCGCTTCTTGTGTGAGCAACAATGTGGAAAGAGAGATGACAACTCCGCATATATTTGCCCTACCTACCTTTTGCCTAAGGTCTCAATGGCTAGAAGTTGGTCAGTGTACCAGTGCGTATTAGTTCCTATAAGGAAATACTGTCCATAGGCATCTGGGTGGAATGATTCAAGAAAAAAAATCATGTAGGGTTCTTCTAGTCAAAACCACATGTTTGCGACCCGCACATATGCATATGGAATCCATTGAGGTTGTGTGCCCCGCTCCCGTCTCCGCTCTACTTGTTGGAACCGTCCTAGTCGCTCAACTCACGTGGTGTCGCAACAAGGACCGCTGGCGCAACGGTAGCGCGTTCGACTCCAGCTCAGGCTCTATCGAAAGGTTATCCGTTCAAATCGGGTGTGGTTCAATACCTCACAGCGTTCCCTGTCCTGCATGAATCTATTCATGCAGTCCTGGGAACCTATTTTTGTGAGTTGGTGGTACTGTGATGATTTTTGTCTGGGGACGGCGAAGGACAACGCATGCGTATGTACTCTTACTCTGGGAAACCAAAAGTGGATCCAGCCTAACTGCCTGTTACACCTGACAGCCGACACCCCATTCGCTTTTTGCAAAATCACAAAAAGCCGATCTCAGAAGCCAAAATCTTCATAGAGTCGTTTCGGTTGCTAAGTTGTGTACGTTTCACCCGATAAAGAGTGGTGGCAACATTCGCCGTGGCCCGGAGGCTACAGCTGTACCACGGCACTGTCTCTGGTAAGCTGGGCCCAGGAAACTCTTGCTTCCCCATACCATTGTGTCACTTTTAATCAATCATTAAACACCAACATATACAGTGGTCAATATGACTGAAGCTAAGGTATGAGATTACAAACTCAATGGTACAAATCCTCAATCCGCTGAGTCCCGAAAAACGCCAACCCAAGTCAGAACGCGACACAGCGAGATAACTCATCCTCGCTTACCCACAATTCCATTCAATGAGCAAGTTTCTTGGCTTCCTTCTCGTCGTCGTACGCAAGCCCAGAATAGTCAGGAAGTTGCCAGCCCGGCACATCATCTGATTGGAGTCGCTGAAGAATCTTGTCGATCCTCAAAGTCGACACCAACCACAAGATCGTGTAGAGAATTGAAATAACCCATGAAGAATTGGGGTAGATCCAGGACGGCTTGAAACCAATGTCTTGAACTTCCTTCATAAGCTCCAAAATCTCATTGTTGTACGACTCGAGGGCGGCAGGAATACCGTCGGTCGCCTTTCCTGACGACCCCGAGCAGTGTTTTGATATCTCGCCAGCGAGCACGTAGGCACCGATGAACGCGCATGTTGTGCCCCGGCCCGTCAAGACGCTGGGTGCATATCCCGCATCTCCAAGAAGGGCCACGCGATTCTTGTAGCACTTGCCCATGCGTATCTGTCCAATTTCGACACAGTAAAAGTCGTTGGAAACACCATCTTCGTTGAGCGCATCGCAAAAGCGGTCTGCTTGCCAGCCAGCATCCTTGAAGAGCTCTGACCACACCTGCTTCTGCCGTACGAGATCACGGCTTCTTTCCGTTTCGATGAGAAGCTTCTCCGTCTCCTTATCTGGTGGACACACGGCGAGGTATGCCTGAGTTGTTTCAGGATTGTCGTTTCTGGAAAAGAGCACACGCTTCTTGGGACACACGCAGACCGTGGCGTAGTTGTCGTCCGTCTTCCATTTCGGGACGGTGTAAAAGGCCATATGCACGCCAAGAGGATGGAACGGGTCCTTCTCGCCGGGGCTGAGCATGAGTCGTCTCGTCTTGGATCCCTGACCATCAGCTCCGACCAGCAGGTCGAATGTGTCCGTGGTTCCGTCTGACAGGTGGACCGTCACCGAGCCTGCATCCTGTTCGAACGACTCGATCTTGACACCAAAAATGTACTTCACTCCAAGTGCAGTCGTCTTATCGAAAAGCAGCCGAACCAAATCGCCGCGCATAATCTCAAATTCTGATGTGAAGCCCTGCTTGCCAACACCAGACTTGTTTGCTTCAAAGGTAGCTTGTGTCTTTCCTTTGCCATTGACGAATCTGATGCCAGCTTCATTGACCACCTTGTCGCGGATAAGACCTTCGAGTCCCATGCGACGCACAACAGTAACTCCTTGGCCTCGAAGGTCAATTTGTTGGCCCTGAACGCGAAGAGAAGGGGATCGCTCAAGGATGGTTACATCGTGGCCAAGCTTCGCCAACCAGAATGCAAGGGCCGGGCCGCCAATGCCTCCACCTGAGATGAGAACTCGAAGGGAAGACATGTGATTGGGAGTGTTGTAGTTGGATAGTAGGTTGGCGTACTGATGAGATTGTTTGGAAATTGTGTTACTTGGAGTAGTAGCGTGCTTGGAATAGTCGCGCTGTTGGCTAGACCTGTTGGGCGATGAAGGGTATCTATAGTATTAGTAGGTAGGATATGAATTGAAACGTTGTTCTCGATATGCGTCGCGATGTACACGGTGGTGGCATCTCGATGGACGCGAGAACTCGGCGATGGCTGTGGCCCGCAAGCCGACATCCATTTCGGGCTTTACGAGAGCGCTGTGGCATTAGTGACGTCAAGACTAGGAGCCGACTCCCGTGTGGCGGTGGTCGCACCAGCCAGCTTTTGCCTTCCATTGGTTGCTCCGAGTCAAGCGCGCCGCTTGTAAGCATGAGGAGAAATAGCTGTGAAACACTTCGGACTATTCAAGAAATCACCGGTTCGGTCCTGTTAAGACCTTCGGCCTTCGGACAGCTGAGAGGCTCACTAACCGCAACGGTCATACCGAACTGTCGCGTATTCGCCGCTACTAGCTATCAAGGGTGGGTCATAGCTGTCACATTCGGCCAAATACAGTATTGTACGACCGCTCTGTATTACTTGTGAACGTGACAAGACATTCTGTGTCGGACTTGTACAGACCGAGAAGATCGGTAGAAGTAGGCGGGCTTACTGGTGTTAGTCATAGACCCCTATAATTGTCATTAGATAGAGATAGGGAATCAAAGTTGGCGATGAGCCTCCCTCTTATTGACCATACCAACAACATGATGACTTTTAGCAAATTACGAGAAGGTATACATCCTAAGGGCGCAAAAAGCTTGGTAAGTACCGATGTGAGTTGATGTTGACCCTCGAACCTAACAAGACGCTCACACAATTGGTCTTATTCTTTTTGTTCAGGCACTGGGTGTAATCTTTGACCCGAGCTCTAAGCCACGTTTGGAAGATAGCATGATCAGATTGATGCATGTGGAATCTTGACACAGACAACATGGATTCTTGTCGCAGCTCTTGAGAGGGCACTGTAAGATGAAAATAGAACGGTTGAACCCAGCGGGTGATACTCCAAGCTTCCGTCAAAGGCGACGTTTCTCTAACATGGTCATGGAATCAAGAGCCATTTGGACTTGACTGAATCGGCTAAGCCGTACGGAGCGAGTACGTCAAGATTGTGTCTGCTCAACTCCTTTTGATAGAGCCAAATCATCTCTTTGCTCAGGACAAGGAATGATTTCTGGCGAAGCATGCGGTCACGGTTTTTCTCTTCTTCTCGCGTCACTGGTCAGCATAGCATATCGTGAATCGGCACGTATGTACTGCCGGAAGAAAGTATTTAACTCTGGTCCATACGTCTCGAGGATTCTTCTAGTAGGAAGTTTATCTAGCGAAACTCTAGACGTAATCTCGTTTTATAAGAACCCCTTAGTCTTACTCCTCCTAGCCTCTTGGTCAAGGGCGGTAGCAGACGTATCGGTTAATAAAATAGGGTTAATAAAAAAGCGCTCGAGAATTAGCAGATCTAGTTCGTACGATATAAATATTCAAGTGTAATTATTTCTAAGAGCTTTAAAATAATATTATTATACTTAAGCGGCGGATATTGTAAAAAAACATATATCCACTTAGGCTATCCCTTCTATTCTTTGCAAAGTTCGGTCTCATTAGTAAAAGAAGTAGCCAGTATATGATAATAGTTATTATTAAGCCCCAGGCTATTTATAGTCCCTATAAGAAGTACAGGTTTGTTAAGGAATTCGGTTTTAATCGAGGTTCGATCTAGTTTAGAATCAAAAAGATCGTTAATTGTCAAAAACTCTACAAACACTCCCTGCCAGAGACCAATGACAAGTAGATGGTGCGGAACTGAAAGTCCCAATCTGACCTGGTGCTGATGGGAGCTGATGCGTAAATCTGGCCAGCACTTTCAGTTTCCTTGCCCCCTTTCTTGTTGAGATTGGGATGTGAGAACGGACGGTCCGCTTTCCTTTCTGTTGGCCGCGAAAGAGATGGCAATCTTCCCAAGTTAAGAAGAGAAGTCCATTAGGTTTGACCTCGTCGTTAGCTGAGGGCCCAAGGAGCCTGGGCGTATAGCACAAGCCCTTCCAAACATGGCGTGCCGGAGGCGGCTCGATGCCACGCCTGCCGTCCTTCGGGGCAACCCAGAAACTGAAAGGCCTCCCGGTACTGAATGAGTGTCGTATACGAGACCAGACGGTGCGCATTATAGCGGGGAGTCTTGATTTCGGCCATAAAGGAGAGGTAATGACCAATAAGTTGCAAAAGGGCATCGAAGGTGTAAGGCTACTCGCGCTTTAATGGCAATAAGAAGTAGAGCCCGTCCAACACATTCTCAGCAACGCCATCCAGAATCTTACTAAAGACGCGAACAAACATGCGGCAGTCCTCGAAGATTCGGTCTTATCGCTCCTAGGTTAAGATGCTCGATTAACTAAAGCCTATTGCAGAGATATCGGATTCTTTCGCATCCTGCATCAGTCGTCGAACTCATTCACGTCATATGTCTCTGAGATTGTATTGCGCAGGCGCTTTATCCAAGCTGCCTGGCTTCAGACTGTATTTTGACGTCTTCCTGGACCGGCTTCGATGTTTGCTTGATGTGATTCGGAGGAACCGGATAGATGAGAAGGATCAGATGAGATTTCACTTTACTCACCTGGACTGAGGAGTGCCCAACTTCTGCTTCTGTGAGAAGTTGAAGTGAGAGATGAAAGGGAGTGAAAAGCTTACTGTCGAAGCGAGTTGAAGGGAATAAGTGAGACGGAGGACGGGCCCAAGGGGAGACTTATGACTGAGTGAGTCACAGAGAAATACGGGAGGTAGAAAGAACTCAACGTCAATCTTGTTTCCAGTCGCCTGCCGTATCGGAAGCGATCTATCTATTACCTGCGCTTATTGTATATTCCCTCGCACATCATGTGAGTATACACTATGGAGTCGCTATGTCTTGTTGGAACATTTCTCCCACTTGTTGTTTGCCCTTCGGCAACGCACCTACACTAACTCACCTTGAACGACAGACCTGTCAACTTACGGAAGATATCCTTTTGCCTTGAATGCCCGTTCGAGGATAGCACGGATGACATTCTCTTTCCTAAAGTTATACTCCCCCACTGTCTCACCCAGTGAGTTACTCACACCTGCGGCCTCCATTTTGGTCTTCGCATACAGATCCCTGTCATCGTCATGTTCAATCAACCACTCCTTCATGATGAGATGCCTCGCCAACTCCGCAGTCCCGACCTTGAAGACATGCAAATTGCAGGAGTACGGCTTGTGCATGGCGAAGAAGCGATGTTCGTTCCACTCAGGCTCGCGTATGAGGAACTGAAACCCTGCATTCTCAAGTGCGGGCGCGTAGGCGTCCTCATCCGACGGATTTTCAACGGCAAGATCGATATCGATAACGTCCTTGGCGGGAAGATTTGGCACCGATGTCGAGCCGACATGAGTTATGCTAACGGCTACAGTACCGACAGCGTTCTTTATAAGAGACTGGATCTCTTGGAACTGTTGTGGCCAATTCGGGTTTGGGGGCTCAATTGAAAGCGCAGGTTTGGATGTTCGCTTTGCGATGCGTTGAATGATTGAGGGATCAAATTCATAGTGTTTGACAATTTCTTCAATGGGGCAAGACATTTTTATTCAATGTCTTATTGAATTATTTGTGACAGATGTGAGATAGCAGGCTGAATAGAATAGTGCGTGTATGCTGTCAAAATTGGTTTCTAAATTAAGAGGATGAGTCTATCTGGTGATGTGTCTAAAGTGCTGTTATAAAGTACTTCAGTACAGTTTAAATCGTCGCCAACCAAGGTGTGTTACAGGGACGGCGTGAGTCATTCGGCGACTGTGTGGCTAGCATCGGATGGCACCTACAGCATCTTACCCCAACTCACATCATCTTCATGCCTTTTCGAGTTGCCTGCCGCGGCGGCCGAAGCATCTAGGGATCCTCCAAGTCGACAAACCGATATGCCCAAAATGCGCACCAGATGAATGTGATGCCACACAAAAAGAAGCTGACGAGGTAAAACACGGCGGCCTGGTTTGGTCAGTGATGTTCGTGAACAAGATGGAACCGGGAGATCAAACCTTGCTTGCTCCAACCCATCCCTGGCCGTCATACAACGGCGCGCAAACGTATACTGTCAACCCGCCGAGGAAGCAAATGGCCGAGTACGCCATCAACATCATGGGCGCCTGCCATGTGAAGATCATGTTCCACCGAACCTCTACAAATGGCATCTCTTTTGGGATCCACCCTCCCTTCTTCTTGATCTTGATGGCACGGATCTGCGGGATGGGAGGCACCTCTTCGAGTGGCGAGTGCATGGGCTCGACGGCCCTGCTGCGACGTATATAAAGGATCATGGCGAGGTCTTTGTCAACGTTGCGCGGCGTCGGGGATCGATGAAGAGTCTGAAAGATGAACTGCTCCGAAGCAGCGAGGAGGATGGAGAAGAGGGAGAAGGAGATGCTCGCGTGCCAAAAGGCTGGACTGAGCCAGTGCAATGAGTCGGGAGGCGGCCATGAAAAGCAACCGATGACGGCGGCTGAGATCAAGGTGCTCTGTGAGGGGTGAGTATGGGATCGCGCAAAGCGAGGGCGTTGGAGACTTACAGCAACCTGTACGAGTTGAAATTCGCTCAACTTTCTATCTCGCCATCGCTTGAGTTGTGCTGAAATTTCCTCATCGGATTCGCGATCTTCGACAGCTTTGGCGATGGCCAATATCGGTAGCAGGGTGTTTTGCTGATAAAAGCGGTTGTATGGAAGGGTCAAGATATCGGTGGCGATGTGCGCAATCTTGCTGCTCAAGGTCACAGCGATAATCTAGACGGCGTCAGCCCGAGATGATCACGTTAAGCAGAAGAAGGTTGAGTGAATCGTACTGCAATTTTGAGACCGCGGTCGCTCTTGGGCACGCCTGGAGCATTGCCTGGTCCCCTTTCCGGATCCATCTCTGTGTGCATCTCTTGACTATAATATTCATCTCTGCTATAGGGGCTCAGAGACTTTATAAAGGCTGTATCTACGGCGTGCTGTAACCAGGCAGGTGGCTGGCAGGCCATGTGCAGTATTTACACAAAGCAACGGATGACTGGCCGTCTTCTCGTGACCGCGCTGCTCCCCCACACCAACAGGTGATGTTTCCCCTCAAAGACTCCAAGTCACCATGTCTTAGCTTGGCACCCTCACGACCAGCGAGTGACGGTCAGCTTAGCGTCAACTGACCAATCAAAGTCTTGTCGCAGCTATGAAGTAAGGCGAAATGAACATGTTTCATGCTCGTCAACCAGGCCTTCATAGGACACAACGCAAGTCTACACCCGCGTGGAAGTGGCGGATGAAGGGCGAGGGCGCGCTAGCTCCCGTGTGTAGCTGAATACGAACCCATGGTTGTGTGTGCAGGTTGAATCGGGCGGCTCAACCCTTTTTGATTTCAGCCTGGAACTTGCCAACCCACTGAGAAAACTCGTCGCTTTCACCGGTCCAAGGTGCCTTCAGAAGTTCCGACAGCCCAACGATCTCATCGAAGCACAGCTTCATTACTCGATCGATTTCGTCAGGTGAGAGCTCGTAGAATGCGCCGGCAAGCTCGTCGAACACGTGCGGGAGTTTCCTGAGGACCCGCATCGACTCGTCCAGGCGCTTGGGGATATCGGATTTCTCGGCCGGAAGCGATGGTAGTGTCTTGAGTCGTCGCTTGATGATGGCCTGATAGAGCAGCGTTGTCAGTCTCACGCGCTTCAGACAGGACTCGAGACGGTCACGGATCTTGTCGGGGTCGTCGCGAGGAATCGTGCCCTGATTCGCCATCATGTCGTCAATCATCTCCTGCGCCGAGGGCATCATGGAACCCAGAGCTGAGTCATGGTCCGCATCGTTTACAGCATTATCATTATCTTCGTCGTCGTTGTCATCGTCGTCTTCATCGTCTTCTGGCTCCTCATCACCCCACTCCTTGAGCTCCTCCATGACATCCTTCAGCGTCGCCCTGAACTCTTCAACCTTTTTGATGAAACAGCCACCAATACCGCCCGTGGAAAACTGCACCAGATCGTCGCAGGCCGACCAAATAACACCGGTGGCGGCCATGCTACCCTTGCCAGGTGCACCCGTGGAGCCTGACTTTTGCGCCGTTGACAGAATCTTGCCATCCCTGGGGATCTTTTCAACCAGACCGCGGAGCTCTTTCAATACTGTGTAACATTTCCAAGCCAAGTCCTTCCGCACAGTAGTCGTGTATCGGTCTGCGTCACAAGCCTGGCCCGCGGTGGCGATGCCGGGAATCGGGCCGCTGACGAGTTCTCGGAGGACTTTGATGATGGCCGAGGGTGTAAAGGGCTCGTTGATGATGAGGACGGAGATTTTGGTTGAGTGCGCCTTGATCAGCGAAGCTGAATCACGGGCAAGAGCGAAGGCATCGACGGACGAGGTATCAGTCTGCTGGGGGGTGTCTTTGCCACCATTGATGTTCTGGAGGACAGCCTCCAACTGCTGCATCAAGGCGACAGCTGTGTCTGATAAAGCATTCAAAGCTGCTGGTGTAGTGGAGGAGCTTGAGGAAGCCATGTTGTTGAGCCTGTGTGTCTCGCAAACACCTTGCAGGCTTCGGTGGCGGTGGTCAAGGCGGAGGTTTGCTCCGATATTGAAGATGTTCGGACTAAGGTACGAAAATTCGATATGACCAAAAATGCAGTAAAGTCATTGTGCCCCGCGATGGAGGGGTATCTGAATAAAATACGTACCTTCTTCGTCCGGTAAGTACGTACCGCTCCTTCCCGCTCATGAATTTCTAGTGCTCCTACCTCAAAGCTGGCGGCAGTATCCAATCAGAACCCATAGTGATAAGACCTGGTGGGGTCTATGATACTGCTGGCAGAGACTCTTGCACGTGACCAGCCTGTAGCTGCCCGTCGCCAGCTCCGCTACCCCTGTCAGCGAAACCCACCTTAGGCGTTTTGGGTGAGCTGGAAGTTCCACGAAGTAGCCCCGTACCTTACTCTCCGTAGTATACAATACCTCACCTTTCCAACCCTCCAGTCTGTCAATTCGGATTGGATCTGGATAGCTTCACAACCACAACAGATCCCACAACAACGATCGAAACGCACGGATTGATGACCGATACGATATCTTGAGAACCATCAAGATGCGTCAAAGCTATGGCATGGTGCTTTTGGGCACCTTTGTGTCTGCTGCTGCGCCCATCGCTGCAGCTAGCTTGCCCAGAGGTGTCGGTCCTGAATGTGAGTATCAGTCGGCAGCCGGCCATCCACGTCTCACCTATATGGAGCATTTGGGTCACTTCAAGTCCACATGAGTGAGATGGAACAATGTTCCTCTCTCTACATTCCTCTTCCTTTGTTACCTGACCAATGGGCTTGAAGCTTTATTTGAAGGTCCATGATCTGTCACTAACATGATTCCTTGCAGTCGCCAAGTTCTTCGAGCTCAAGCCCTCCTTCAAGTGCATAGGCCACCCTGAAATCAAACTTCGCTTCAGCCAGGTCAACGACAATAGCTGCGACTGTCCTGATGGCTCCGATGAGCCTGGCACCGCTGCCTGCGCGCACCTCGATCCCCTCTCCCCTCAGCAGCCCTTCGCCGGCTCCCTGACGGGCACGACGAATACTTCCAATGCCCTCCCGGGCTTCTGGTGTGCCAATGAAGGTCACATTGGTGCCTACGTACCTTTCATGTTCGTCAATGATGGACACTGCGACTATGACGTCTGCTGCGACGGAAGCGAGGAGTACAGCAAGGTTGGAGGCATCAAGTGCGCCAACAAGTGTGCCGAGATTGGAAAGGAGTATCGTCGCGTTGAGTCTGCGCGCAAGGACGCCATCGACAAGGCTGCTAAGCGACGCAAGACGATGGCCAAGGAGTCTAGAGAGCTCCGCCGTCGTGTCGAGGCCAAGGTGACTAGCCTGAAGGACGAGGTCGCGGGTCTCGAGACCCGCAAGGAGGAGCTCGAGCAGAAGCTGCACGACATTGAGCGTTCTGAGAAGGGCAAGATTGTCAAGGGCGAGGGATCCGGCGGAAAGCTTGGCACTCTGCTTAATTTGGCCAAGACTCGTGTCACCGAGCTCCGCGAGACCCTTGAGGATGTTGTTGCCCACCGCGATGAGCTTCAGAGCAAGGTGAAGGAGCTTGAAGGTATTCTCAGCCGCTTCAAGGAGGAGCACAACCCCAACTTCAACGATGAGGGTGTCAAGCGCGCCGTCAAGGGCTGGGAGGACTACGCTGCCAACCTTGCCAACGACCCCCTGCCCGATGGCCTCGAGGCCGACATCAAGGAGGTCCTTGTCGAGGACAACGAGTCTTCAGGCATCAACTGGAAGGAGTTCGAGGAGGATGACGTTTCTGACACTGATATCCGTATGCGAGACCCCCTGAACAAGATTTATGGTGAAAACATATGACTGATCATGCCTAGTCTACAACTTCGAGGCCTACCTCCCCGAGGGCATTCGCGAGTTCATCCACGGCAAGCTCTTGTCTTTCAGAGTCTGGATGATCGAGAACGGCCTGATTGCTGATAACAACAACGGCGGTGCTGAGTCTCGCTTGGTCAAGGCTGCCCGCGAGGCATTCAACTCGGCCAACAACGATCTCTCTGACAAGAAGCGCCAGCTGGAGACCGAGCAGAAGGATCTGGAGAAGGACTACGGCACTGATGACATTTTCCGCATCTTGAGGGACAAGTGCGTCAGCACCGAGATTGGCGAGTACGAGTACGAGCTCTGCTGGATGGACAAGACGAACCAGAAGTCGAAGAAGGGCGGCGGTCACACTAACATGGGCAACTTTGTCCGCATCGACAAGGAGATGGCCGATGACGAGGAGCGCGTCGATGGCAAGAGCCTCGGCAAGGGCCTCCGCATGGTTATGCGGTACGAGAACGGTCAGGGTTGCTGGAATGGTCCTCAGAGACGTACAGATGTCTGGCTGGCCTGCAGTGAGACGGAAGAGCTATGGAAGGTCACGGAGTCGGAGAAGTGCGTCTACAAGATGGAGGTAGGCACTCCTGCCGCCTGTGACGAGCTCCTTGAGCCTCCCGCGCCTAAGGGCAAGGATGAGCTGTAAAGGCAGCAATGGCACGCAATGGGTGTCTAGGAAGAATTCAGCATTGGGTCTGCTTAGCTTGGCGTCAGGTTCGTCTGCCTTAGACCGAGTAGAAAGGATGCATTAGGAATGGCCAAAACGTTTTTCGGTACTTGCAAATGGTGCGCCCTGATTTTCGCGTAGAGTACAACTTGGAATGAGAACCAGGGGTATCATCTTTGTTTGTTCATTTGCCTTGCAGCTCGATATTTCTTTTCCGGCTATGACAAAATCAACCTTTTGAGGTTGCCATCTTCCTCCGCCTGCTGAGCTCCTCTTGTTCAGCCAAGACCTTGGCTGTTAATGATGCGGCCATTGGATTGTTGATGTTGCTCGTCTTGCTCTCCTTCTTTGCAGCCTTTGCATTATCCGTAGCCCTCTTCTTCTCGGGCTTGTCGCCGTTTCCATTTTCCTTGGCATCATCCTCTGCTTTGCGCTTCTTCTTGCCGCCAGCTTTCTTGTCTTTTTTCAAGCCGTGTGTAAGCCCTGCAGCGGTCAAATCGTCCATTCTTTGCACCAGTTTCCTCAGGTCACGTTCCTCGGTTGGCAGGATTGGTACCACGTTCTCGCTCTTGAATTCCTCGTTGCACTCTGGGCAAGCTGACTCTTGAATCTCCTTGATAGCAACCTCGGCAAAAGCATGCCCGCATGGTACCAGATAAACGGACTTGACTTGTGGGCCGAGTTCCTTGAGAGAAATGGGACAGACCCAGATATCTTTCTTGGTGCCTGGTGGTGTATGCTTGTGGAACTTGAGCTTGACAATATCGCGCAACGATTTGATGCCGGTCGAAGCAAATGTGAGTTCTTGGGACTCGGGATTAGATGGTGGCGATTCGGTGCTGTCGTC